CTGGGAACCACTTTTTTCATTTTTCAATGCCTAAAGCAACTCAAATGAGTTGCTTCCATTGGAGATGCCCTCGTTAAGATCTGCTTGAAATCTGGTAAGCTATGATGCACTGATACGATACGCGTATCAGATATGACACGTATCCGATACGGCGATACGATTATTTTAAAATATATAGGATACGATACTTGTAAGATACGTGTCATCATATATATCAATGTTCATACAATATAATAATTGTGTACTTGTAATTTTGATCAAAATTCATAAATATTAAATATATAATTGCTATTTTGCAAATCCAAATTAAAAACATACTTATTGTACATTACTTAAAATAAATAAATTATAAATTATTTCATCATAAATTAATTTTTATTATTTACAAATAGAAATAATATTATCAATTTCAGTCCTTTCTTAAAATTATCCATATAGAAGACAATTTTCATTTACAGTTCATCAGGGACCAATATTTCTATGTTTCTATATTAAATATGTTTATATATCTTATTTAGCTGTAATGGATATTTCATAATTTTTCAAAAATTTGAATACTTTATCGATACGTATCACCAATAAGTATCGGTGAAGTATATGAGAGTATCAGAATTGAATAAAATTTTCATAATATTTTTAAAGGCTAGGATACTTCATTGACACGTATCGGTGAAGTATTCAAGAGTATCATGTCAGATACGTATCAGATATGGACACGTGAAGCAAATTGAAGTATCGGTACTTCATAGCTGGTAAGGAACGGTTGCTTGAGGAAGCAACTCTCTCTCTTATTCAAGCAACTCATGTTGCCACGTCAGAGTCTTCTAATGACAAGAAATCGGAGCTTGAATTGCTTCATGAGACAAGCAACTCCCATTAAAGTTGCTCTAAGAATAGTTATAACAAACGTGCAAGTAATCTACAAAATCACATCAAAGTAATGCAAATAAGATGAAAGTAAGCGTGTGTTTGCAAAACTTTCGGAGATGTGAAAACCACATCTACCCATAAGCAACAAGTAATAGCTTTCACGTATTTTGCCTCTTGGATGCAGAGAGAAAACACCGAAACACGTTCAAAAATCTGTTCTAAACATGCACTAACATCTTGTTTGATATGGTAGAAACTTCAGAGAAATAGAGTGGAGAGGTGTAGAATTTGCAAGAAATAAAATTTGAAGTCGTTTGAAACCAACAAAAGTGCGGAAATAAACACTATACAATTAAAATTCATTCGTATCCGATTAAATAAAAAATTTATTTAATTACGCTCACTTTCAAAATCGTTTGTAGTTTTTATTTAATCAATTAAATAAAAGTTTAATTTGATAATTACGTTTACTTACGAAAACATTTAAGAAACTTTCGATCGATTGCAAAATTTTTTATTCGAATGAAAGTCTAAAGTTTTATAACTTTCAATCGATTACAAAATCTTTTTATTCAATTTAAAATTTAAAATTTTATATGATTTTTTTAATTGTTTACATAGTATAAATTTATTTACTTAATTTAAATTTATTATTTTAATTAATTTTTAATCTAAAAAAGCACTTTAGAATTATTTACTTACTTTTATTTATTTATTTATTTTATTTCAAATATCATTTATTCAGTTATATAATTTTTTTATTTAATTGATTAAAATAAAAATAAATTAATAAAACTCATTTTAAAAATATTTTTATTTTCTATTTCTTTCTTTTTTTGCTCTAGTTATTTGTATTTATTTATTTCTCTTTTCTTCTTTTTATATACCTTATTTCTCACCTATTTATTTTCATCTTACCAAACATACATAATATTATTTTCACTTTTTTCTTACTTATTTTATTTCTTTTCAACCAAATAATCAATTTTTCACTCTATTTCTTACTTATTTCTCTCTTTTGTATTTCTTTCCACTCTATTTCTCACCTATTTCTTTCCTCTCTACCAAATATAACCTAAGTTTTTATTACTTCTATTAGATGTGAAGAGAGCATAGAGACATGCATTTTTTTATTTGATTTCAAACAAACACTAAATTATTAATAGGGTTCACATACACATACAAAAGATAAATGTGGATTTGGCATTAATTAGTGTTCACTCCAAAATGGGGTGAATAAAAAAGAAGACGAAAAAAAGTAAACAAGTAAAGTGACAAATAAGATAAATGATACTACTTCTAATTTTAATTATAAGTAAAAAATTGAATTTATTTTATATTAATTACAAGTAATAATTATTAGTTTTTATAGTTATCCAAACAAATTTTTTTCATATATCTTTCATTTATATTAACTTTTTTTTTTTTTGTGTGTACACTTATAACTAACATCAAATATAACAACCACTTAAAGTAAATGGTATGTTAATAAAACTTCAATTTATGGTAGAATTAATTAAAAATAATCATATTAATTATGTATATTGCTTATCCTATGATAGGTAGTATGATAAGGAGATAGTTAAATAAATAAGTGAAATAAAAGAGAAAATAAAATTCAGCAAAAAAAAAAAGAGAGAAAATAAATATATGCATAATTTTTCATGAAAACTTGCTCTTGTCATGTGAACTACTATCATGAAAGCCCATTATGTACCTCCAAAAAGAAATTACATTTTAAAAATAATTTTAAATTACACTTAATTACATTAATTGTCATTTTGTCTTTGTTGCTGCTTAAAACTTTCATGCTCTCATATTTTTCCTAAATTTGTTTTTTTAGAACGAATTTTCCTTAATTTGTTACCAACTTTGAATGCCTTTTATTCTCAAATTTATTTAGTAGACACTAAATTTTATTCAATATGTAGAGGAAAAAAGAGAAATAAATGTAAGTACGATAAATTATAGAATAACGATACAGTCTTTAAAATTTAAAAAATGATAGATCCTCCCAAAAAGATTCCGAAAATCATTCCAAAAAAATAAAATATTAAATTAAATATTTATTTTATAATAAGTTTATTATAAAATAATAATATTTTAATCTTTCAGAACGTGATTCGGACGTTTTTTTGGGAGAATCACTGCTCTTAAAATTTTTCTCCAAATCATCCTTCAAATATTAAAATATTAATATTTTTTAATAAATTTATTATAAAATTTCATATTTTATAATTTAAATTATTATTTTAATTAATTAAAATGATTTTTGAAATGTCGGTTTCGGACATTCTATTATATGAAATGATAGAAAACAAAGAAAACAATGTACGTATAACAAATAATGTGGTGTTATTAAAATAGAAAGATATAGATAAATAATAAGTTAAATGAAATATATGATATATAAATGTATTTATATATATAATTATACTTTCACTTAATATATTTCAAGTGTATTTATTAAGTTTTAAGTATATCTACTTTCACTCAATGCAAGTTTTTTATAAGTAAAATTTTAAATCAAGTTGTATACCATTAGTTTTAGCTAATTACTAAATGAATAGTATTTAGTTTGAGAAATTTGGATATATCATTGATTTTTTATTTAATAATCATGGAAGTGTGATTCTTTATCTACTATTTTAATAATAATAAAAATATCTATCTAGTTTCAATTGACGCACTGGTACAAGATATTACATGTGAAATAACTCCTTAAGCTTATTTTTCAAATATAAAACTAAGAGCATCTCTAACTGTGCAACTATGGTGTTGCTTAACTCACATTTAGTGGACCCTATAATATTGCAAAAGGATTTAAGAATTTCAACAAGTTTTCCTCCAATAGTATATTCTTGAAGAACTTAAACAAGTCTTATAATTGTCTCAGTTCTCAAGAATGATTGAAAAAAGTAGTAGGCATTCGGTTTATCACGATAAACTAAGAAAGCTATGTGCTGATACAATTCTCAAAAGGTTAAAAAAATGACACGGGTTATCGAACCAATTAAGTTATTAAGTCATGAGTTATCGGGTTAAAGATTAAATTAGTGGGTTATTAATTAAATTGTATAATTCAGTTTTTATTAATTTTTTTAAATAAAAATTTATATTAAATATATTTTATATTTATAAATTTTAATAAATTCATATTTTATTTTAAATTTTAATTTTTATCTTATTTAAAATTATTTTTATTTTTATTTTATATAAAAAAATTATTTAATTTTTTTTGTTAAACTAATTTAACCTACCAATTAACTAGTTGAACTAAAAAATTGATCAATTTATTTTGATTTAAAACAGGTCGAATGCATAATCGATTCAATTCATCGATTTCCTGTTCAACCGATGTGACAGTCAGTCCGATCCTGTTTTTAAAACACCGGAGAGGCAGAATGAGATAGACTTGCAAAAGTTTTCTGAAGAGGGTCCCATTTATACAATGCAAAACTCTGAACGCTGTAATGAATAATCATATATTGTATTGTATCAATATCATATTCATAGCCGCTATCACGGTCTGATTTGTCAGAATTCTTATCATCTGCTGCATTCCACAGTGAAATTATGCACATGATCATAATTGATAAAGCCAGACAAAAAACAAATGTATTTTTTCCATTATACTATTATACCACAAAAGAAAATACAAACCAATCATAGAAATATTTATATTATTTGCTTATGGTCCAAATCCAAATTATAAGTAATCAACAATCAGTAATTCCATTAGCTTTACAGAAAATATGTGTAATATAACAGTGACAAATTTGTCCGTTCTTTTCAATTATAACGTAATTATAAAAAATGAACAACATATCAAATTTTGTTTATCTTATGTACGCAATTTATGTAAGGTTGTCTATAAAGTCAATTTCTCAAATTTAGAGGTTAACTTACAGTTTATCACATCTGATCTGAATGATGCTACTCAGCCACAATAACCTTGCAGATCAAAAAAGTTTGGTGTTCTGTGAGTTTAAACTTTCAAGGCATTTCAAGGTAGTTTCCTAACAGTTTTATGTTCTGACCCATTGGCCATTTACCACTCATTTTGATGTTTCAGCGAAAAAGGATTTTTGTAAGATATACATATTTATAGAACTGGATACAAATGCAGCTGCAGAAAGAAACGGATTATGTGCGAACTTCGTAAAAAAATAGGATTCTTATGCTCTAAAATACAACTTCTTCATCTCTTTACCAATACATATTACAAAACTCGATCGAATTGATATCATGGACAAAAATAGACACCATTTCAATTATAGAATGATAAGGGGGGAACTCGCCTAACTGCTTATAAGGCCTAGTTTCCTCATTATTAAGGAAAGGAGGAGGGCACACACAAACAACCTCTCATCCTAAATCCATTTAAAACCCACAGAAGATACCAATGCTAACGGAAGAGGCACAAGAAAACTTCATTTACAAAAAGATTAAGATAAAAGGATGCTTCTTCTAGCTGTTTGCTAGTAGTTTGTTCAATCGAAGCTCGATTCGCGGCTCCACCTGCCTCTCAAGTAGTCCTCCAATGTGAGACCCTGCTCAACACTGCATATGGAGACTGAGTCATCCTCCACATCAAGCAGTGCAAGGTTTAGATGTGACTGCATATTACTAGGTGGACATGCTTCATCATCAAGCATATCTGATGCGTCCAAAGCATTGACTTCTACCCTTGCCCACTTGATTGCATCCGCGTCACCTTGAAGGAGCTTTGAGATCTGTGGTCCAATAGCATACATGAGATTTTACAACAAAGGACTAGTGCACGAAATGAGAATATTTCTATGGTGATCAAACAAGAAGATAAAGTCAAGGACTATGCTATAGCCTATAGGGTTCAGGTACATGATTTAGGATAAGCAAAATGCATAAAGTCTGGTCATTGTCCAGGAAATTGCACTCCATAAGCAAAGAAGGAGTCTATTATTATATGACATAGAGCCCACAATTTGCGATAAAGTCAAAAGTGGACCACTTACAAGGCTCATTTGAGGCCTAGCCCTTGGCGCACGTTTGATACAGAGCGTGGCTGCCAATACCATCTTTTCCATCTCCTCATGATCATATTTATCACCCAAACTAGGATCCAACAATTGCAACACCTTTCCACTATTTAGAATTGGACCTGCCTGCGAAAGTGCGTTTCTATTATAGTTTTCCCGATACATATGATTATGAAATAAGAAGTAAATGAGAGGCCAAACCATAGGACCACAGAAACATACCCACATAACAAGACTCTCTTGGCCTTTAGGATACTCGCTGCTTATGGGCTTTCTCCCTGAAAGAAGCTCAAGGAGTACAACACCAAATGCATAGACATCAATCTTGTCATTTACTTTGCCATACATGAAGTATTCAGGAGCCAAGTAACTGCATAAATGTGCGTAATACAAAAGTTAGGATAATTTCAAATACACTCTCTCTCTGTCTGCTGCACGCATTGATTAGAAGGGATGGTATAGTTATGCAGGGTTCGAAAGTACAAACCCGAAGGTTCCAACAACGTCTGTGCAGGCTGTATGTGATGACAAGGTTGATGCCCATTTTGCCAGTCCAAAATCAGAGAGCTGAATAAAATAAAGCAGAACAAAATGAGGATTGATAAATACAAATCATTCAAAATTAAAAGTCATTCAATCAAAAGATAAATACCTGGGGTTCAAAATCCTCGGATAATAATACATTTGATGACTTTACATCTCGATGAATCACAGGTTGATCATCTTTAGAATGCAGATAATCTATAGCCTCGGCAACACCCACTGCTACCTTATATCTCTCAGACCAACCAAATGCAAGTGATTTTTTCTTATTCCCTATTTTGGCATGAAATAGAAGGAAGTAAATAAAAAGTTACCAAACCACAAAAAAGCAAAAGGGGACATAGACTATAGTAATGTATATTTGTGTACCATGAAGATTCTCTTCGAGGCTTCCTCTTGATAAGAAATCATAAACCAGAAGCAGATTTCCATTCTCAAAGCAGAACCCCAGGAGGGAAATAATGTTTTTATGGTGCAAGGTAGTGATAATTTCTATTTCCAGAAGAAACTCCTTCAATACATCATCAGAAGGCTTTAGGATCTTGACGGCAAGTTCCTTGCCATCAGGGAGGCAGCCTCTATACACCTGACTGCTTCCTCCTTTCCCAATCAAGTTTTCTGAAACCACATTGGTAACCACATTAAAAGGTAATAAAAATAAACCAGTATGTTAAATTGAACTTAATCAAACTAACACTAGGAAACAAACCTGGCATGAAATTCGATGTGGCTGATACAAGTTCTTGGTACTCAAACAATCTGCAAGTTGATGAGTATTTCTCATGAAGGCCCTCCAACTCTTTAGGAATGTTTCTTGAATTGCATTCCGGCGAAGAAGCGATCCCTATTTCATAATCTACTGGAACAAGAGCACCACTTTCACTATCTAAAGCCGCAGGTTGATCTAGATCACAAATGCTAGGTTTTTCATCACGATCTACAGCATATGAAAGATTTCTAGAAGGCAACCTCATTGCCCACTGAACCACGGAGATCTGGGGGCGCCTCAATGATCTTTCAGTAGATTGCTTGTCCGATAAAATTCTGCTGTGTAGTAGAGGCCAACCTGGTTTCAATTCCTGTTTTGTTGCAACAGTTGGTTGCACAGGCACTATAGCCAAAGAATTCTCTCTACAATCATCACCAGAAAACCCTTCTGCAGATTGGTAGCAAGAAGGGTCTGGCAATGCCAGGGTTGTGCCACAAATTGAACAGCTTGGTTTTGTAACAGTTTCTGTTGAATCCAGAAAAAACTTGGCTAAACTGCGATCTGAAATCTGGCCAATTTTCTTCTCATTAGCATCCACCCCTGAATTGTCATCACTTAGTACCTTTGTACGCTTACTGAGTGTCCAATGAATTGAACTAATCAAACCGTTTCTGTGATGACCATCAATCCCTGAAAAACAAATTCAACTACTGAGAATTCTACCATGAGACTCACAACAATCAAAACTAAAAACAATCAGAAACCTTGTAAGTCAGCAACACTCAGTGGCGTGCCGTCTCGCTTGAACACAACTTTCCCATTGTTAACAGCAAGAACACAACAATCCTTGGACAACTTTTTAGCACAGTACTTAGCTACAAAGGTAGATGACCGGATTTTATGCAGGCCATGAGTAGTTCCAACCACAACATGAGTTGCCGAATAACCGCTAGCTTCTCGAACCAAAATCTTCTTCACTGATGAACCACGGCAAATTTTGAGCTTGAGATCCACCTAACCAAAAAAAAAAATTAAAATTTGATACATTCTCTCGAGAGAATTCAAAAAATAAGCAATTCAATAAACTCGAAATCGCGTGTTTTTTCCCCCCTCTTTGGTTTCCAATAGGAAGCAAAAGGACGAAAATTTAGGTCCTGCATTTCCTAACCAATTTGAGCACAGAAAATGAACTTACATATTCCACTAATCGAAATTGAAAAAAAAATCCCACAAAGAAAGATGGTGAGGAATTGAACCTGTTTCAAATTGCAGAATCCTTCATAAACAGCAAGAACAGAGTCAAACGTCTTAATAAGCGAAAGCAGCGACGATTTCCCATCTCCATTCACAGTTTCTACGCAACCCCATTTCACCGATCAATCATCACGTTAAAAAAAAGAAACCAAAATCCAAAATTAAAAAAAAAAAAAAAAAAAAAAACCTCGAGTACCATGGTTAGCAAGCACATGCAGAGCAACGACGGTGTCACCGGGGTGTGCAACTTTGACCAAAGCCCACGTGAGCAATTCTTTGCTGGGGGAGTCCAGCTTGACCCCCACCACCACCCTCCGGCTGCCGGAGCCGCCGCGGGTGGCTTCTCCGGCAGGAGCCGTTTGCAGCATTTTTTTTATGTTAGTGAGACAGGGATCGCAATGAGAGTGAGTGAGTGAGTGATACTAAGAATGAAGTGAATCTGTTGTTGTTGTTGTGTTATGATATGATATGATATAGAACGCTGCCACGCCTTTGGTTTGGTTTGGAGCTACGAGGATGGTTCGGCTTAACCGTCGTTGGTTCGTTTGGTTTGCTTCGCTTTGCTGTTGAAGCTCCCACGCCAAACTAAGAACCAAAGCTTTTCAGTTAAAACTATCATTAAATATGTGACTTTTTAAACAAGATACATACATACTTACCAAGTCTAATGCCCTTCAGATTTGACCACTCCACCCAACCTTCTTTTTGTGTCACACATTTCTACCTAAAATTTATGTATCTTTTTAATCATATTATATTCTTATCTTCCCTTTTTTTTTTCTTTTCTTTTTTTTTTTTACTTTCATATAACCAAGAAGATCCAGCATATAGATCACACGGTTTTACCCAGCTTCTTTGTTAAAATGGTTACACTCAGTTTTTAGAAAATCTTTTTAATTAGAAATAGTTAGACTTTAGATTTTTTTTTTAAAAAATTTAGTAGGCCTAAAAAGTGGATCTATTTAAAAAATAATTTAATATTATATATTTTATATATTCTATTGATTTATATTTAATATATAATTAATAATAATAATATATTTAATACTAAGGTATATTAACTTATTGATCTATTTATAGATCTTGTATAAAATAGAATATGTAAATAGATTTCAGACCAAGTCAAATTTTTAGCCTAGTCTAAACTGTTCTGATTTGATTTTAGTCATAATTGTGCATATGAAAAATACTTTATTGAAAACGATAGTACTCATTTTAGTGGTTTTCATGCATATATATAAAATAAAATAAAATTAGTCTTCAACTATTGGTTAAAAATATCTTTACTTAACACTAAATAAAAACCTTTACTTTTAGCTACCTAATTAGTAATTAGTTGAGTTGGGTTTTGAATCTCTCTTGAATTAGAATATATATAATTATCAATACAATTTGGTTCTAACAGAAAGGGTTAACTTTTATTGAATTCGTTAAGAGGAGTGTTCATATCTAATATCTCCATTTACTGAAACAAGATTGCCTAAAAAGAAAAAAATATGTGGAGAAAAGAAAATCGTAATCTAATTGGTTGTTTTTCTTTTCAGCTTTTTAAAAGAGCTTTCAAATGAAAGGAAATGGGGATAACAAATTGAATGGGAGGGTGGGCTAGTTTTGTTAGATGTGATATAGGAAAATTATTGCAAGACAGAAGCTGGTTCCATCATTAGTGTGTCGATAACAATACAAATTGCAGGTATTTTATTCGAGTAGGAATTGGTATTGTTATGTCATTCTCATTTCAATTACTTCACGCTTTAATTTGCTTCGTTTTCAATAATTGTGTTAACATCCGTCTACGTATGCTTGAAAGTTGAAAGCATATGCACGATATGCGATTTTGTTTCTAAGTTGCTTGAGGTCTGAATCCCAAGTAAGTACGATTATTAGATAGTGGTTTGATTGTCTTTTTAAGTTTTAATTATTCCATTTTTCACGTTCTATTTATTTCTTTCAACAACCATTCACAACATTTAGTTTTCTTCACTTCTCTTATGTCATCTTCACTTTGCAAAAGCAAAAAGTAGCCTCAGAAACGTTAAAAACATGTCTAATTAATTACTATAATTTTGTAATCACATATTTGATAAATAAGTTCTCGATCTAGATGATCATCAACTTAGTCTTTTTAAGAAAAATATCGAGTTCAAGAAGAAAAAGAATAGTTATAAAAGAAGACTTCACTAAAAGTATTAGGTATTAGTCGTTAATAATTAGAATAAAATGTCATATAATTTATTTCTATATTAAAAGTTTGAATAATTATTTTTTTAAAAATTTCATTTGTTTAATATTAATATTAGCCTTTAAATGTATTTTTTTATATTTATTTTGAATTTTTATATTATATTAAATTAATAGTTTCTCTCTTAGTTATTTTATCAAGAAAAATGGTTACTAATTAATTTTGTAATCATCATTACATATAAGAAAAGTATTTACAAATTATTGGTAAAAACATAATTTATTAATTAAGCTAATATTAATATTTTTCGAACATAAAATTCCAAATCCCACATTTTTGTTTCAGTTTAATTATTGTTAACAAATTAATATTTTTTTTTAAATTATGTTTGTTTCATTTATATTAAAAAAATATATTCATTGTATGACATATTAACTTGTTGGTTTGAATTGTAGATAGGTGAAGTAAACATTAAGGGGGTGTATTGGTTTAGGATTTCGTAAGATTTTAAAAGATATTTTTTGAGTAAAAAAGTTCATTGGTATTCAATCAAGATTTTGTCACTTAAAAACAATCCAGTAGTATTCAATCTGGATTTTCAAGATTTTCTAAAGAGTCCATTAAAATTTATTGGTATTCATTTGAGATTTTTTACAACTTAAAAACAATCCATTAGTATTCAAAAATATAAGGATTTTAAAGGATTGTTGTATGAGATGGATTTTGAAGGACTTTCTAGTGTTATCTATAAATACCAAATTCATAAAACAATCTCATCCAAACCCATCGGATTTTGAAGGATTGTTTGAAGTGACTTTTCAAGTGTTTCAAGAATTTTCAAGTGAGTTTTTCATCTTTTTTTTCTATGTTCCTGTCTTCTCCATTTTTCTCTGCTAATAATATTGCACTATTGTTCATTGCTCATATATAATATTGTAGTACTATTCCCATCTCATTCCCCTATTTTGTCAAACTCTGATATGTAAATGATAGTGTCATTGACTTGCTCTATTTTTCTGTTTGTTCTCTTTAATTGACATGCTTTATTTTATTCTATGTAGTTGAATTTGTTCCTTTATATAACACAAAAAAATGCTTGAAATTTTAACTTTTAAGTGGTAATTTTTTTTTATAACACACGTCAAGAAAAGGAAAAGGCGAAAACGTTGATTTTGGGATGGAAAACTTTTCATATGATCTTAACAATGATGTATTCATAATACTAGATCATTATGAACCACCTTACCAGCCTCCATCACCTCACCCAAGCATTTCACCACCTCAACCCCCTTTAAGATCAGAGGTTCCCATTGAAAATCAAATTAATCATAAGCGGAGTAGGTCCGAGTATGGAGTGAGTTCTAACTTAATTGGGAACAATAGTCAAGCCAAAGTTCTAGAAAATATATTTGTTGGCATTAAGACTATAGCCTCCAATTTTGAAAAAATGTCTAACTTTATGGAGAAAAGAGAAAGATACCAAGAGGCAAAGGGAAATATCTGGAGTGCCATAAAAGAGATCCCAAATTTAGATGATCGAACTCGCTACATGGCGACTGATTTGCTCGATACTAATGCAAAGAAAGACTTTTTCTTGATGTTGTCAATAGAAGAGCGTTCAGATTGGATAAAGTACAAGCTAGGATGAACAATATTGTTTTGGTGTTATTTTGGTTCACTTGATTTGAGTGTCTTCTTTATAATTTGGTTGTGTATGAACACATGTTGGATTTGTCAAACTATATTGTTTTGGTGTTATTTTGGTTGCACTTGATTGAAGTGTTGGCTTTATATTTTGGTTGTGTATGAACACATTTTGAATGGTGGAATTATATTGTTTTGGTGTTATTTTGGTCGTACTTGATTGAAATATTTTAGCATGTTTTATTTTTCTATTATATTATTATTTTTAGTTATATTGTTTTATATAGGTACAATGTCACATTCAAGCATGTATGAAGGTAGTGACATGAATGAAAAAGAAATGGGTGACATAGAGATAGATGACAAAGAATTTTATGATGTAATGTATGCATGTGTAATGGCAATTCATGCATTAATGCATGTGTTGACTCAGTTTACAGTTATGATACGTAATGAAAAAATTGAGCACCCATTAAATTGACAACGAATTTCTAACATGGGAAATGACTATATACACCGAGCATTAAACGATGATCCTACAATATTTCGACAAGTTTATAGGATGTATCCAAATGTATTTCGAAAGTTATGAGAAATTCTTAGAGTAAAAACACCTCTAGAGGATACACAAAATATTTGTGTTGAAGAAATGCTTGCATCATTCCTACAAATTATTGGTCAAAATACTCGATATTGTATAATTCGTAACACATTTGGCCGATCACAATTTGCTACAAGTGAAAATTTTCACAAGATTTTGAAGGCTTTGAATACGATAGCACCTACTTTGATGGCTAAACCAGGATCAACTGTGCCAACTAAAATTAGAGAAAGCACAATGTTCTTCCCTTTCTTCAAGGTATGTACTAATTATATTACAATAAAAATTATAATTAAATTTGACACTACTATATTTATATTTTCCATACGATGAAGTGTTATATATTAAATTTTAGGATTGCATTGGAGCTATTGACAGGACACATATTTCAGCAATAGTGAGGGGGCGAGATGTAAGTAGTTATCGTAATCGTCATGGAAAGATATCACAAAATGTATTAGCCGCTTGTAATTTTGATTTGGAGTTCATGTACATTCTTAGTGAGTGGGAGGGTTCAGCTCATGATTCTAAGCTACTAAATAATGCTATAACAAGGAGGAATGGGCTTAAAGTGGCTCAAGGTAAATGCTTATTCTTTAAATAATAGTAATAATAATAATAATTATTATTATTATTATTATTATACTGATATTATATATATTGCATATGTAATTAGGTAAATATTTTTTGGTGGATTGTGGATTTCCTAATCAACACCAATTTTTAGCTCCATTTCAAGGTGTAAGATATCATCTACAAGATTTTACAGGTCAGGTAATGACCCTGAAAATGAGAAAGAATTGTTCAATCTTCGTCATGCGTCTTTAAGGAATGTGATCTAGAGAATATTTTGTATTTTTAAATCAAGGTTTACAATTTTTAAGTCAGCACCTCCATTTTTATTTAAGACACAAATAGAACTTGTGTTAGTATGTGCAACACTACATAACTTTCTACGTAAAGAATGTCGTTCTGATGAATTTCTAATTGAAGCGGTGGATGAACCTTCATCTTCAACATTACCAGTTAATGAAGATTATATTTTTGAGCCTATTATTCAAACCTAGGAGCAAGAGCGAGAAGACGCTAATGCTTGGAGGACTAGTATAGCTATGGATATGTGGGTGAATGTTATTTAAGAGGATATGATATTATGGAGAATTATTATTATTATTTA